ATATAATATATTTCTGAAGTTAAATACCCGATCACATATTTTTTGCTATCACTTACTATTGCAGAGCAGGCCATAGGCGATTCTTCGAATCATGGTTCTTTGAACCTATATCTGCACCTGGCCTAGTTTCTCAAGCTTTTTCCTATGATACCCTGACCTTGCTCGATATTTTTTAGCATGTATATCACAAAAGTCATAAGTAGATAATGTTAATTTACCACACTCTTTGCAGGGTACACACGCAGGAGAATCCCAATGAACTTTACACCCTTCAGGTCGATAGCAACCTCGATTACAAACTTCTTCAGTCCTAAGAATATAGGGACAATAATAAAATACCATAGCTATATACTAGTCGATAAAGATATTGATAATTATACTCTGGAATTAATTTTCATTTTAAACTTTTTCCTTGCGAATAATATACTACCAATACTATTATAACTAAAGAAAATATCAATACAAAAAATAAGCACACAAAGCACACAACTTGAGCAGTACAGGAGCGGGAAACTTTAGTTAGAATTCTAACTCGTAATGATATTGTGACTAAATTCGATAACGGGATGACCGCTGTGCTTCAACAAAGCCTATCTGCTAAGCAATCCATACATTTCATGCCTACGGATGTGAGTGATGAAGCTGAATATATAAAAGGAGTGTCTACTTACATTTTACATATTAGTGGTGCTTTAATTAATGGGCAAAAGACAATCGTGGATATTACGGGTATCAAACCCTTCTTTAATATTGAAGTACCTGAGACTACAACTTACCCCTTATCTGTATTTAAGAGAAGATTTACAAATATATTGACTATCACCCTCAAAAACACATTAAAATTCGGGATCGAGACTATTAGCACTTTTCCACTTCGAGGATATCATACAGAAAAGAAATCATATATACGTGTTACTACTTGGAATCATTTTGATCGATATAATGCATTAAAAGCGGTTTGTGAAGTTGGTATTAACACTGCTTCTGATGACCTAAATCCTACGTATTACTATCACAAAGTAGCTCATGAAGAGAGAATACCTCTTTCAAGTTAGGCAGTGTTAAGTAACTATTCATATAAATATATCGAGGCTTCATCACTAAATATTTATTCCTTCTAGGTATCTGTAAACAATTACAATCTAATAAACAATGATGCTATAATAATCCGTTAATTTCTTTAGCGCTTACAAGGGATCGAACTCTTATTCTCACATGGGACATAGAGACATATAGTTCACTTAGACAAGATAATTTTCCTACTGCGCAGAGCGATGAATCTAACGTATTTATGATCTGCATGTCAGTTCATTAGAAAGATGACCCCAAACCACTAAAGCAAATTTGCCTTGTCGATGTTAAAACTGCGCTAGACCCGCGATGGGTAATAATTATATGCGAATCTCAGACCAATTTATTAAAAGCATTTGCCTTGTATTAGAAACTCTTAGCCCCAGATATTCAAATAGAGTTTAATGATTCACAATATGATTGGAGATTTATTGTGGAGAAGGCGAAAAAGTTAGGGGTTCTCGAATAGATGTTCAATCAAATGTCATTAAAGCCTTTAAGCCTCAAAAAAATTACAAAATAGCAATACCAATATAACACAATAAAAGTTAATGATAGGAATTTCCATTCGAAACATCTTAAAATTTCTGGGTGCGTGGCAATTGATGTCCGATCGTGTTTTATGAAATTTTATTCTAAGGCTGAAAAGAGTAGTTTAGCATATTACCTAAAGGAGTATAAACTTGACAACAAACTAGATATGCCTTTCCATCGTATGTTTAAGTATTATGGAAGAGCATTAAAAGAAACTAATGCTACAACGGTTGAGCAGATACGCGAAGTAGCTGAATATTGTGTTATCGATGCTGTTAGCTGTCAGTGGTTAATAGTAAAGTGTAATGCAATTAACGAGTACAGGAAGGTGTCATCTGTAGCCTTCATATCATTATATGATTCACATTATTTTGCAGTAGGAATGAAAGTGTGTAATCTTTTAAGTGCTAGTGCATGGCAGGAAGGAATTTTAACCAGTACAATTCCATGTAAACAAACGGAAACAGGAAAATACCCTGGAGCCTATGTTTTCCCACCGGTAAAAGATCTCAAAAATAGACGTCCTGTAACCAGCTTAGACTTTGCATCACTATATCTGAGTCTTATTATGACATATAACTTATCTCCTGATAAAATTATTTTATCCCGTGAGCATGCAATATCTGTAGCACGTAGTGGTAAGAAGCTCCATAGGATTGAATTCGAGTTTAATAGTCGTGATATTATTGCATGGTCAGTAAAACATAAAAATCAATCAGAAATGGAAGGACTTTATGTAATAGTATTGAAAGAGCTACTTATGAAGCGGAATAAGATAAAGAAATGTCTCGCCCCGTTAACTGAAAAAAGGAAAATATGGAATTAATATTAAGCAATATAGAAGGAGAGCGAACAATACCGGAAACTATTGAATATAGCTTGAAAAATGCAGAAAAGGAAAATCGCGATAAACTTACTAAAAAATTATATCCTTTTATTAATAAAAATAACTGTGAATTTATGGTAGAATATAATTCTATCTGCTTCGATCACGCCTGTTTAAATGCAAAGCAGACTGCTTTAAAAGTATATATGAATACATTTTACGGTGAAGCTGGGAATAGTAGATCCCCTTTCTTCTCACTTCTATTAGCCGAAGGAGTCACATCAGCTGGTCAACAGAATATTAAGCTTGTAGCAGATTTTGTTAAAAATAAAGGCTTCAAAATAAAATATAGAGATACGGATTCTTTATATTTAGTTTGTCTAGAAGAATATTTTCAAGAATGTGATACAGCTTATGATAATGAAAACGGAATCTCGAAAGAAAAATACTGGAATGAAATGGTAAAAATTTCTATGAGAGTAATGGAGGAGCTTCGTGATGAGGTAAATGAATTTCTTAAAAAAGACAACAGAGGTATTTATTTGAAAATGGCCTATGAAGTAGTTTTATTCCTAGTAGTATTTACAGGAAAGAAAAAATATTATGGCATTCAACATATAGAAGAACCTAACTTCGATTCAGATCCAGATAAGCTTTTTATTAGAAGTATAGATATTGTAAAATGAGGACAGTCTAAGTTCTTTCGCGAAATAGGTAAGAAAATTATGTGAGAATCTATGGAAATCGATAACAATAGAACATTATACCAGATTGTTGAAGAGGTCCTTAAAAACACAGTAGAAAATTCATCTCAGATAGATATTAATGAATATGTTCGAACTTATGCATGGAGGCCTGATAAAGATAATAAGTCTGTTAAACGTTTCATTTTTCGAATGGAATCTAATCACGCTCGTGAGGTTGAGGAGTCCAAACAGCTTATAAAGAAGGAATTAACACCCGATCCATATATTTACAATATCCCAGAACCTGGAGAACGCTTTGAGTGTATAGTGGTGGAAAGGGAAGATCGATATGATGAGTATGGGAAGAAAATATCATGGAAAGTAGGAGAATATATGGAATACCCAGATGTGGTGAAAAAACTTAACAAAAAGATAGATATCAATTATTACCTAAAGAGTGTAGTTGGTCTCTATGCCAGATTTATAAATAGTGATAAATGTTTTGAACCACCCACTGATAATGGATCTTTAATAAACATTACTACCCCTGATGAACTCTAGACGAAAAAGGATGAATTAGAACAGAAATCAGTAGAGAGGTGGATTAAGGAATATATAAAAGATTTATGTGATGTACCGAAAAAAGATGAAGCCATTATCTCCCATTTATGGAAAGATGCTATTATTCACGCGGAAGGAATATACTCTAGCATCGGCAGAAGAGATGGGAACATAGGTTATACAACAAATAATGATTACCTTAATGCGTTAGACAAAATTACAGACTCTACTCATTCTAAATTATCGAATCTACTTTTAGAATTGTCTAAGCTTAATGTAGAATATAGAAATGCAATGTATGAATTAATTATGCAGACGCAAAAATGTAAACCTGAAATTACAATTCTGGAACAATATATATTTCTATATGATTTGGGATCAGAGTGCAGAGCATTAATGGATTTCCAGAATACATGGCATAAGGTGGTTGGTCTTGAGTTCACCCGTCTTCAAGTACTACCAGTTACATAGAACAGTAAAAAAAGATGACTCATCTGAAGCGGATGTTAATGAGATCATCGATCTATATTGTTAAGTACTCCATTAATACTCCCCAATATTAGTGATACTTATATATTATTAATAATATTTTTTCGTACATAAATAATATCCAAGTTTAAATAGACAGCCTGTTACCCGATCTACATATCCCGCAATCGATTACTTTTTTTATGACTCTTTATTTCAAAGAAATAACTCTTTGAGCCTAGAGTCGCTTCTTCGGGCCTGCGGAGCAATGACGCTTTGAGTCTACCTATATTCCATGTACATCTTACAAACTACACAACCGCAATAATTAACAGGGTAAGAAAAATATATACTGATAGCAGTGACATTAAAGTGTTTGCCATAGCAGGAAGAGGTAAAGTCTTAAGACTAGGTCTCATCTGGGCATTCGATTTAATCAAAGAGGACATATGTGGTTTAGCACTAATTTTGCTAATTCTAGTTTCATCGCTTACCTTGGGGTTGATCTCAGTATCATTTTTTGGTAGTTCGGTAATCTTACCATCGATTTTTTCAGCTTGATCCATATTTTTTCTGTGTATAAAATACTTACTTAGATTTTTGCTAGGTTCAATAACTGCAGATATATCATCAGACTTGGTCATATTTTTTTCATCATTTCTACCAAGTATGGGGTTTGATATAGCCTCCGATTTCAGATAC